TCGAAGCCTCAGTACTGGGGTTAGAAGATAATAAAAATTTAGGAATCCAGTACCGAGACACACGACCAGAAGATCCAATAGGCATATATCCACATGCAAAATCAATTTTAGAATTTTCAGAAAAATTCCTCCGAGGCCGGTCTGACCGAGGTACAGTGGCCGGTCTGACCGGGGGCCAGTCTGACCGCCTCTGTACCGCCGGTCTGACCAGTGCCCGGTCTGACCGACGCTCTATAGACGGTCTGACCGGTCGCCGGTCTGAACGCGGGACCCACTGCGGTCTGACCGGTTTCCTCGAGGGAAAACCAGATTTTTGCCACTTTGATTTTGCAAAAGCAATCTCTCTCTCCTTTTTCTGTTTATGAGCTAATCTGAAACAAAAACCAATAATATGTCCATCTTTTCCACAGAAAGAACAAGTATATTTTTCACGATGATTAGACACATTGGTAGAATTAGAAGACTTAGCAACACAAGCAACAACAGAAGGTTTTGCATTCACAACATTGGATTTCGAAGAAGATGCATTCAAGGTAGACATGATACCGGCAGATTTAAACACAGTTTTATTAGTATCAAGTTTAACCAAAATCTCACCACTTCTAGCACCAGCACCTAACACAACAGGAGGATGTCTAGAATTATGAGCATAAAGATTAAAACCTAAACCACGGTTATGTGTGCTAACCTTTGATTGATCCAAAATCATGTTGAGGTTCTTTTCACCATCAGAAAATCTTAGCAAAGAATTTTTCAAATAAGAAACCTCTTTTTCCAAATTAGCACAATTTTCACAATCTACCATGACACCTTTGCTTTTACGACATTTAGGGCAAGAAAGCACTTCATTTTTTTTCACAACATCTTCCATGAACTCAACACGACCTAAAGCATCTTTTAGTTTCATCTTATTCAAACTACATGTTGAGCAATCCAAAACATCATGAGGTTGTTTTAACTTTTTAACAGAAATCATGTTAAACATCAAACTGGCATGAAAAACAATTTGATATTTTTGCAACAACTTTTTAGTTAAAAACAACTCATCCAAAGTGCGTGTGTGCAAAGCAAAACTACAAGCAGAGAAGATATATTTTTCAAATCATGTGTCGCATTAACATCTCTAATTTTTGGAATCTCATTCATTAAAACCTCACAATTTGAGCAATCATCATCATTAGGAATAAGAGATTTTAACCTATCAATTTTAGATTTAAGAGATTCAATGATAAATTCCTGTTTTCTATACATCTTCTCACACTTCTTATTTTTTGCACTCAAAATATTAATAGCTTCCTCAAAAGCACTCACCTCATTATCTTCATACTCTGTGTCAGATTCACCATGCGCCATGAAGCAAACATCAGATATGTTCTTTCCCTTATCATCATCTCTACTTTCACCATCTACATCACTTAGTGGCTCGAAGGCGGCGCAAACTTGTTGAAAAGCCTTCCTGAGATTATCCAGCTTCCTCCCTTGGGATGAACCCTTCGACTTGTTGTTGTTGGGCTTGTTGTCGTTGGTCTTCTCACCATCTTTGTCTTCTCTTTTGCCTCTCCCAAGCTTAGGACAATGCGAACGAAGATGATCAATTGAACCACATTCAAAGCAATGATTTGGACCACCTCTTTTCCTGTTCCTGGCATTATTCATAGCTCGAGCAATTCTGTTAGCAACCAAAGCCAAATCCTCCTCCTCGATTTGTTCGAGTTGATTATCGGATGTGGCATTAAAAACAGCAAGAAAAGATGACTTAGATGAAGAAGCATCAACATCCAAAGAGGAAGAAGAAGAAATCAAAGCATTCGACTTAGAATGACTTTTCGAGAAAGAACATTCATCTCATGTGTTTTCAATTTTGTATAAAGTGAATCCAAAGTCAAAGTAGACATATTAACAGACTCCTGAATAGATGTAACTTTCATCTCCCAAATAGACATGTCGAGACCATTCAAAAAGTGACGAGAAATCTCAGATTGTGGATAATTAGCATCATAAGAAGAATCAACAGATCTAAAATCACTCAAAATTTTATTAAACCTAGAAAGATAGTCATCCAAAGCTTTTCCAGGTTTCATCTCAAATTTAATGTACTCCTTTTTAAAAAGATCTCGACGAAGATCTTTAATGTTATTTGTTCCTTGATGAAAATTACTCAAAGCAACCCAAATCTCATGAGCATTTTGAAGATGAGCAACACGATCATAATCCGAACAAGAAATACCACTCAAAAGAATGTTGCGAGCTTTGCAATTTTGTTCAAAAGCAGTTTTTTTAGCAGCAGTATTAATAGCTTCAGGAATCACATAAGTATGAGAAACTTTTCTCCAAATATCATAATCTTCAGCCATAATGTAAGATTGCATCCTACTATACCAATGAGAAAAATCCGTTCCATCGAAAACATGAGGCTTAGTTGAAAACCTAGCGGGAGTAGCCATGGCAAAAACTCTAGATCGATAAAAATCCAAAGAAGAAAACAAGGCTCTGATACCACTTGTAGGATCGAATCACAAGAACTAAGCCAACCAGAGGGGGTGAATGGTTGATATACCCAAAAACCAAAACTTTTAGCGGAAATAAAAATTACCCTCGAAATTGACGGAAGTCAGTCTGACCGAGATTGATCTGCCGATCTGACCGAGTGGATGCCAGTCTGACCAGTGTTGAATCTCCGGTCTGACCGCCGAAATCGCCTGCCGCGCCTGTCACCGCCGCCGGTCTAACCGCCCGTATGCCGCCGGTCTGACCGCCGCTTGCCGCCGGTCTGACCGTCGGTATATTGCCGGTTAAACCGCCGAAACCCGGTGAAACACAAATCGAAGAACTCTCAAAGTAGATGACAACTTTATTGCTTCTCTCTGTGTTTACAAAGTGCAACAACAGCACTCCTTACAAAAATCTCGACTAAACTCGAAACCCTAAAACACAACGCTATGAAAAGCGACACAAAAAGAGATACCGGGAAGCCTCACGCTCCCCCTCTATTTATACATGAGGTAGGCAGCCTAAAGCCACGAACCAAACTTATACTAAGAGTCCTAAACACCTTAGGAAACCCTCTAGTACAAGAAACAAACTTTACATAATCAATCGTACCAAATTTGGACTCCTTCAAAATTCGACTCCGCATCCCATACGCACACAATACCTCCATCGTATGCCATATGGAATCTCCATCAACCACGTGCATCAACTCTAGCCAAAGTATCCCGCATGATCTCTGACCACCACGGACGTCGTCTTATCCCCAAGCCGACTCCCGGTCCATCACCGCAAATAATCTCCCGAGACATCGAGTCACCTACACATGGAACTAACAAAGAAACCATATTCCGAGACCAAGCTATCTCCAACTTGACTCATTAGCAGCAAACAATAGTATTACATACGTATAGTATCCATCTAGAAGCCATAACCATGAAACAATCACGGATATCCAAAGAAACAACCCGAAACCGAAACCTACACAGCGTCGGCCGGTCAGACCGCGGGCCGGCCGGTCTGACCGCACACATAGCATGGTCTGACTGGCAACCTCCGCCCAGTCGGACCGGTCACATAAAATAACAGTGAATCCGATCATCACCTGAAAATTGATTATCTCCAAAACCACTTCAACGATAATCTCCAAATATCAAAACCAATAATCACATATGCCAATTGTTCATCACAGAATAAGAATCAAAACACACTTTGATCTTACACAAAGCGTCAATTAAAATGAAACCGGAGGGAGTACTCTTTTGTCTTATCTTTCCACTTCAGACTAGTAGTTTTGTTTTTGTTGTAATTTGTACCAACCCAAACTATTTTTATCAGCACATTGGCTTCAGTGCACCAATGAACTCCTCACGCATGCGTAAGCCATATCTTTTGCAAGAGAGAGTGATTAGACATGACTAGAGAAAAGAGTTGGGTGGTCCGAACTGAGAAAAAAAAAGAGAGTGAAATAAGAGATAGTAAAATAAACTAACCAAAAGTGAAAATATATGATAAAAGCATGGTGAAAAGTGAAACTTAAATAATAAAAGATGGTTCAAATTGTAATTAACTTTATATTACTTTTACAATATTGTTTTTTTTTACTTTCTTGGACAAACAGCATAAACAATTTTGTCAGAGAAACTGTGAATGGTTGGAGGAATGGAGTCGGTCACTGACTTACGTGTTACTGCACCAAGTTGTACACTCATGGTCTTTGACCACAATTGCATCCACGAAACAACTGTTCACGCTGCACCAACCTGCTATACTTTGGCACAAAATTAACAAGTCCTGGACCGATTAGATCAAAATCCCGTCCAAATTTCAGACCGAAATGGCCAGACATGCTATATTGTATTTTACCATGGCGACAAGTTAATCCAGAGATGTGGCAAAAGGCATCGTGTCCAAGCAGTCCAAGAAGAAAAGCAAAATTATTAGCTCATAGCTGCTTCATTGCAGTCCAAGAAGAAAAGCAAAATTATTAGCAAAAAGCAGTTGGTGATTATTTATACCTAATCAACGTGTCATTTTGTGCCCCTATCACGGAAAAGCCCTGAAAAGGCTAGGGGCCCTCTGTTTATTATTCACCAAACCCCATTAAAAATGCGTAGTACAAACGTGTCCCAACGAATGAACCAAAGCGCATAGTAATTTACAGGAATTTGGGTTTCGTTTGAACAACAGCTGAGAAGCAAATTTCTCGAATGAACCCTCAACTTTCCCCAAATAATCCCGTACTACAGAAATCCAATAAGAAACTGTAATTACGAGGAAAACATAGGGGGCTTTTCGCAAGCGCGCCGTCCTTCTTTAAACGCCACCCACGCGCCCCAACGGTCGACCGGGCGCGCTTCTAGAAGAGAGGGGAACAGGTCCACCTCGTGGGCCCCACCCGTCAGTACAGCGCAGCCATCCGATCCCGCGCATCGGACGGTCCAGATGCTCGGGACCAGTGCGCCACTGCCAGCGCAGCACCCGCCCGGTTTAAAGCGGCAAAGCGAGCCAAGCGTGAAGCCACGCCGACCCGACCACTGCAACAGTAGAAATAGCAGAGCAGCGTCGAGCTCGAGCAGAGAGCACCGCCACCTCGTCGGAGCTAGCAGCAGCGCCGCCGCCCGTGAGCCCTCCTCGTCCTCCCTTGCTGGCCTACGCGAGCTTTGCAGCAGCTGAGGCCTCGGCATTGCGGCTTCAATTCCGTTTCTTGGTTCGTCGCAGAAGCCTCAAGCTCTGAAGCTCCGGCGATCACCGGCGGCAACGGTGCCGCCATGATCAAGGTTCAGGGCCCAGTAGTGCTGTACCAGGACGGCGTGCATGAGGCGGCGAGGAGGAGGCGGTCGCTGAGGGCGCGGTACGCGTACGGGCTCATATTCTTCGCCACCAACCTGCTGGCCTGGTTCGTCAGGGACTACGGCGCCAAGCTGCTCCGCGGCCTGCACCGTGGGTTCCTTCTCCGCTCTCAAAAATTCTGAATCATCTGCGTTCGCTAAGTTCTTTCGCGCCATGAATTGTGGATTCCAGCTCTCACTGTGCCTACTGTTTGTTCGTCTGACCTTCAGATGTGCCGGTTTGTGGAGCAGGAGACTCCAAGTGCTTCCAATCTGGAGGAGTGCTTCGAGTGAGCTTAGGTTGCTTTGTATCCTTTTCAGTTCTGAATACTGCAATTGAAATCGCTAATTCTGCATGTTAATTGCGAAGACATGCACTCAGCTAGACTGTTTTCAGATGTTTTCTTTGGAACTACTTAGCAAAATTGAAAGAATAGGCATGCTATTATCTGTCTATGGAGGAGCTGTGTTCCATATGTTCATTCCTTATACATAAGTCCAGATATTTTTCTGGGTGATGTTTGCCACAACATTTGGAACTCGCAAGCTCCATGAAGTTCGAAATTCGTGGCATTCTGGGTGCTGGATTCTGAAGTTTCTTGTGTATGCCGTGTCAATCATCATCCCGTTTATTGTCCCCAACATCTTCATCCAGCTGTATGGTAAGTTTCTTTTGTCCAGTTCATGATCGTTTGTTTATTCAACGTGGCACTCTGCTCAGAGTGACCTGTACCACAAGTGTAGTTGCTGCAGAGAATGCAAGATACTAGATTTTAGATTTAATGGCATTGCTAGATGTGCAATAATCATAATACACTGCAAAAATGCGTTGGTAGCTGATGTATTTCAACTTAAGATAAGCATTTCCTCCCTGAAAAATAGGTAGCTGCAGCTAGGAAGTATAGCAATTAGCAAGGACAAGGCCGCAAAACACAGATCTTTGATTAGAAATTACTAGAATATTTGCCATGAAGATCATTTTCCAATCATATCTTCAGTATACTTTCCAATTGTAAATTTTCACCTGAGTAAATAATTGTAAGCATTAGTGCCCTGAACGAGACCTATTCCATTTTCTGTTGCAGGTGAAATTGCTCGAATGGGTGCCGGGTAATTTTAGCGAATCTTATCTTACATTCACTGCTGAGACTACAAAAGTTTTAATACTTAGTAGTTACTCAAATGTTTCTAGTTCTCTACTCAGATTGCAATGCAGGTTATAGTTAACTTCCGTTTCATGGTCACACCAGGATATTTCTCATCCTCCAGCTCATAAGCATGTCACACTTCATCTCGTGGTGCAATAAGCGTTGGATGCCAGATTCTCAATCAAATCAATGGTATTATAACATAATTCGTTGAAACCTCCCCCGTTTTCTCGGTTTTGATAAGTATGCCTGGCCATGACACTGTCACACCCTCGTGTCATTTGCGCATTTTTGCAGCGGCCTGTTCGGATTGTTCTTGTCGACCATCTCCTTCATCGCCTCGTTTGCCGGCATCGCCGTGCTGTACGTCCTGTACGTCCCCAACTCATCGTGCGCGTTCAACATCTTCACCATTACATGGACGGCGACGCTGGTAGCGGTAATGATGGCGGTGTCACTGCACTCAAAGGTACGAGGAATTCTGAATTTCATTTAGTGAAGACCTAAACTCACCTCTGCTTGTAGAGTAGTCGCCGAGTAGCGATCCGGTGATTCAACCAGAAATGAATCGATGATCCAGACCTCCCACGGGTAGTGTGGATGTGTGGTGATCCGGTGAAATTTGAAGCTGGGCCGGGGCCAAGGGCGCCACGGCCCGCTCGCTTGAAGCCCAAAAAACGCGGGACACCTTCCTACGGCCCAGCCCACCGGCCGAATAGTGGCGCCACGGCCTGCTCGCTTGAAGCCCAAAAACGCGGGACACCTTCCTACGGCCCAGCCCACCGGCCGAATAGTGCTCCCACGCGCGCACGCTATGTCCGGCCCGCCTCCGTATTCTCCCGTGAAATACCAGCACATGACGCTGTATTTGATACAACTAGCAAATACATCCTCCATTTCGCTGTATTTTATGCAATTAGCAAATGCATCCTCCATTTCGCATGTATGGATATAAGTATGGGCTTCATATATATATATATATATATATATATATATATATATATATATATATATATTAATGAATCTAGACAATATATGAACATGCGAAAATATCTTTATAATGTGGGAACGGAGGGAGTAGAAGGGTATGCAGATCTCTCTTGATGCTGCATCTCTCGGTTAAAAACTGGCAGCGGAAATTTTAGCATGTTCCTAGGATTGTATGATCTGAATTTGAATTTGTAATGTTTGCGAAGGTCAACGAGGGTCTCCTCTCGTCTGGAATCATGGGCTTATATATTGTGTTCCTTTGTTGGTCGGCGCTCCACAGGTACTAATTTTTGTACTCACTCTGGTCACTTTTAACTTAACTCTTCTGACGTGTTTTATGATCACTTTTCATATTGTAGCGAACCACAAACTGGAAAGTGCCATACTCGGCTGATATTTGCCAATGATGGTGATTGGGCTACCATTGTTGTAAGTAAGAAGTTTGATGTTTTTCTAATGGCCAGGCCATCTTGTTTTCTTTTCCTGCTTGTTGCCCAGTTGGGTTGGCATATTTATTTTTCATCTTATTTCATGATAGTAGCTCAGTGTTCTGATTAACTTGGCCTTATTTTTTTAGAGCTTCATTATTGCAATTTGTGCCATTGTGATGGCCACATTTTCTACTGGAATCGACACCAGATCCTTCCAAGTAGGTTGCCCTTCTCTGCTAGCAAGTTTATAAGTGAACAATCAATAGTAACGTCCTTCAAGTGGATGAAACTGAAACAATATCTCTCTTCAATATTGTGCAAACCATAATTCAAATTATGTTGACTATCAAGAATTTCTTCTGAAGAGTTAGCTAACTTTAAACACTACGAAAAGTGTGTTACCTCTTCAGTTATCATGACAGTAACTGAAGTCCAAAGTGTTCCTCTTTCAGTTCCGAAATGACGAGGACCAATTGGAGGACGATGTCCCCTACAGTTACGAGATTTTCCACATTGTATTTGCAATGGGAGCCATGTATTTTGCGATGCTGTTCATCAACTGGGAACTTAACCATCCAACGAGAAAGTAAGGCATCCTATATTTCTATGCAGAAAAGCAATGGTCTATACGATTTGAACTGGAGACATGCTTATTCGTCGCTAGCATGCTACAGAGTGCCATTTCTTTTCATCAGCGACATGATGTTACTTTGCCACCTCATCATTGTTTGCGTACAAGATGCATCCAAGAATATCCTCTCACGTCCACCCTTTCATAATCAGGTGGAGCATAGATGTTGGATGGGTTAGTACATGGGTAAAGATCATCAATGAATGGTTTGCAGCTAGCATATATGGTAAGTCGACAAAAAATCATCTTGCTTGCCATGCCATTTTTTACTGAAACATTTCTTTGAACTCATTCTGACAAAATCAAAACGATTGGCTCTTTCTTTACTGCCTGATGTAAGTGCTAATGTTCTGATTTATTGTGCATTGCTTTGCTTGTTCGGTATTATTAGATGGCAAGATGTACTACCATCTGAATTGTTATGATTCCTGGAAAGAAAAAAAAATCAATTTGATGTGTCTGTACTTTTTGCAGTTTGGAGATTGATCTCTCCAGTTATATTGAGGAAGCAAGCTGCCAATAATGAAGAGCTGGTGCCACGGACCCTCATAGTACAGTGTTCAAGATAGCTAATTCTTCCTTCACACATTTTTCGATTCAATTATTGTGAAATGCATATATCCAGCTAAGAGTATATACAGTCTGATTGCTCACAGCCCAAACACGTTTTTTTTTTTCATTCAAATATATATATGCAGCTAAAAACTAGTATACTTCAGTAATGTTTGAATGGGCCTTCGTCGCAAATTTTGCAAAGGCTTCTTGGGCTCATGGGCCGTCGTTGGTCAGGCCGGCTAAACCACTTTTTGTGGGCTCTTTAGGCAAGGCAAACGCAGCGTTTTCTTCGCCTAAAAAAGTCTCTCCTCTTTAAATCTCAATCCTGGTACACTCATGGACTCAATGACTCATGAATTGGTACGAAAAAGAGGAAAAGAATCTGGAGGGACACGCAGTTTCTTGCAAGTCATGCAAAGCTAACACTTAACAGGCAGAGCGAGACCAGTCGGTGTCATCCAGATCGACCAAAAACGCAGAGGAGTTGCCCCAGTTTACGCGTCCATGGCTGAGCTAGTCTGCTAGTGCATCCTCCCATGCGCTGTCCTGTACACTACCGGGCCACCGTTTTTCTTCGCTCTTCCGTCGCAGTCGTCCCAGATCCAACGCTGGAATCGAATCCACGATCGATCCGTTCCAAATGGTACTACTAATACGTTTCTTTTGCGTAAGCATTTAGTCACCGGCTTGGATGGTACCAGTACTTAGTACTGTATGTTAGTACTGTATGTTTCAGAATAAAGTTCATGGTTAATTATGTTGAGAATTGAGTTCTTGGTTCGATACTCTATCTCGCTAGTCGTCTGTCCTGTCCAGACTCCGGATATCATGGGCAGGGTTTAGGCTGACGTGAAACGCTGTGAAATGAAGTAGTAACAGTGACACCTGAAGTTCTGAACCGCATGTGAGCGCTCGGGCGAAAAAGCAAAGACTTTCACTGCAGCAAACTAGTCTGATGAAATGGACCACCAGTCTAGCGTCTTGCCGGCCACCGTACGCAGAAGTTTTAGGCCCTGTATAGGTGGGACTAAAACTTTTAAGTCCCTATCACATCGGATGTTTGAAAATTAATTATAAATATTAAACGTAGACTATTAATAAAACCCATCCATAATCTTGGACTAATTTGCGAGACGAATCTAATGAGCCTAATTAATCCATGATTAGCCTATGTGATGCTACAGTAAACATTCTCTAATTATAGATTAATTAGGCTTAAAAAATTTGTCTCGTGAATTAGCTTTTATTTATGTAATTAGTTTTGTAAGTAGTCTATATTTAATACTCTAAATTAGTATCTAAAGACAGGGACTAAAGTTAAGTCTCTGGATCTAAACACCACCTTAGAATTTCAGCAGTGGTGGTGGCAGTGCTGCCTGCGTGATGACAGTAATCAAATGCGTAGTGAAGCAGACATGTGTAACAAGTCTCCTGTTCCTGACGAACGATGCTGAATTTTGCTGACCTTCGCCACTGTAATTCAGACGAGAGTATGTATTAATTCCCTTGTAGTAGTACAATTCAGTATACTTAATTCATCTCGGCTAAAAAAAAATCAGTAAATCACCGTCGATGCACATGGACCACTGCATACTAATTTATCTCGCGAATTTGATTGTAGTACAGAAAACCGTACAGCTAGTTCACCGCCCTCGAAAACCGTGGACTGATTCAACTGCCTCGCATGCCGCATTTGAATTTTGGATTGCAGTGAAGATTAGTTTACACCAAGTTGTTTAGCGAACACGTTAAACCGTGTCATGACTCCCTCGGACTTCAATCTTGTCGCCTTGTACAGAAACATCAGCACATGCAGGGTTAAGAGTTTTTAGGCTTCGAGTTAGTATTCTTCCTAGCTTGGTTCAGTTGTACTACCCTATAACCGCATGATGCATGCAGCTGCAGACAAGCTGACGATAGCAAGCCCAAAACCTTTTCATGAACAGTGCAAGCACTGTCGAAGTGGTCTGCTTCTCCTACTGATTACGCACCCAATCATTCATGAGGTATAAGTTTATCAGGGTCAAGCTACACGATCTTGACAGGCTTGAGGACATCGTGAAGTCACTGTAACAATTATCATACTGCAATTTGGACAGATGTATTAGTTGTTGAGCACAACAATAAATGCAGGATATCTTAATTAAGACAACTCTTGCAGCTATTACACAGAACATCACTTGCGTCAACCAGGTTTGGTTACCTAATTAATTAAGCACCCTACATAAATGACAAGTACTCCCATATCACAGTCCAGGGGCCAAGTATTCCAGATGACATTTATTAAATTCATTTCTTATCCTCAGGTACAATCATGCATAACCATCTGCTAATCTAGAGCTGTACCCTTCGAAATTTATTGGTTAAATACACCTTGACTGTACCTACCCTTACACGTTATGATCTCTCTACCATCTCTGGAGCCTGAATGCAGATTCTGACATTCACAAACATGTTAGAAATGGATGCTGATCATGCTCTAATATAAAGGCAGACAAACAAACAAAATGATCCATCGTCCATGTTACTCCAGAATGTTGCTAACTTGTTAGGGATTGGTTGCATCTTGCGTGTTAGGATTACAGATGTCACTGGAGCACAGTGAATCACTGAGCTCATTGCAAGTGGCACAAGCACAAACCCGGATCCTTTGCATGAAAGAAGCTCGAGACATGCATGTCGCATCCGAAATGCCACCACTAATTCCACAATTGCCAAAGATTACACCATTTACAAAACCCAACAACAAAAAGGTTAAGTATGATTACAAGCCAGCATCGATCGACATTTTGACAGGATCACTAACAGATGGCAGCGAGAGAAAGCAGAGAACGCTATAGGACAACAGATGCCTTCACCACGGGACAGATTAATCTCCACCGTCCATAATGTCACCTCGGTCGAACGACCAGCACACACATCTTGCATTAGTGCCCTTTTTTTATGAAAAAAAAAACTAACTTAAAGGCTATGTTTTTCTTCTTTTTTTTTAGAAACTTTGAAGGCTAAGTTCTAATCAGTTTAACGGCTTAGCTACTCCCTCGTTTTTGCTTTTAGTAAGTATATTTTCCACGTTTAACAACGGTGCATGTTTGCTAAAAAACATTTTATAAATAAGTTTATTTAAAAATCAAATAAATTTATTTTCTTTTAAGTTTATAGTTGTTGATACGTAATTAATCATGTATAATGATTTTTTGAGGGAAGTGTCATTTTTCCACAGGACATGCACCGACCTATAGTATTCTCTAGCACAGGGATGAAGAATATGAGGGGATATTAAAGATAATCAAAGGAATGGCTAAGCAAAGCCTGATAGATTCAATCATTTGATTAGGGCAAACAAATATGTTGTGATCATGCAATGGTGGTAGCCTGGTAGGTATAGACCAAGAAAAAACAATCAACTGTTCCACCAGCACTAGGGCGTAGTATCTACTACTATGTATGATTTGAGGATCAATTGATCAAAGCACAGGACACTCCACCAGACTATATGATTCGTTCCTAACATGTTCATCTACGCTTTTCTTTTTCCCAGCTCTTTTACGCCGGGCCCTTTTTTCTACTCTATCCAGCCGGCGTTTGAGCTAACGGTAAGCAAAGCAGTACACTAGTTTTTAATCATGCTAAGCAATTGCTAACAAATTAGACATGATTAGCTAAAGCAATGCAACGAGCCAGTAACACTAAATTGAAAAGAAAACAAGATCAAAAGTACTGATTGATTAATTGGACCTAGTGTAATCTTGTTAGAATATGTATCAAATATAAGCTAGTCATATTATGTTACAATTGAATTTAGAGTTATAATAATTGTACGGAGCTGAGTTAGCACTGAACTCTCTAAGCTGATAAAGCACCGCACAATATAACCATGGTGACATCCATATACCGTAGGTGCACAGAAGATGATTGTATGGCCATGGACATATGGTAAAGCCGGTGTGGTATATTGGCTGGGATCTTGGAGAGATCGCTCATGTTCTGTGTTTTGAAAATGTAATTTTCGGCTAAAATTTTTTAATATTAATAAATATTTATTATGTTTTCTTATGTTGTCACGTGACACATTTAAGTTGATTAATACCTGAATAATAGGGAAGGTAAGTCGTCCGTGGCTCGTTGATCCTATATATGCTTTACTTGCACACTTTCTGCATTTGCAATTCTGTCATCTCAATTCATTCTTTATCTGGATATTGTAGGCGCTTGTCCTTTTAGGCTGCATTCGGCAAAACTAGTTGAGAACCCACATCTCTCTTTTTCCATGCGCGACGTTTTTCAAACCGTTAAACGGTGTGCTTTTTGAAAAAAATTCTATATGAAAGTTGTTTTAAAAAATTATATTGATCTATTTTTTCTAAAAAAAACTAATACTTAATTAATCATGTGCTAATGAACCCTTTTATTTTCCGTAGGAGGGATTAGTTTCCATCCCTTGTTACCGAACACAGCCTATAGATTATTGGCTAAGAAACACAAACCATCCGCATCTTTTTCTGCATTGCACACATGCGTACGTGTAACCCATATCCAAAACCAAGTTACTTTTGGACTAATAACATTGTACACCCTCTCCTAAATGTTTGACACCGTTGACTTTTTAAAATATGTTTGACCGTTCGTTTTATTCAAAAACTTTTGTGATATGTGTAAAACTATATGTATACATAAAAGTATATTTAAAAAAGTATATTTAACAATAAATCAAATGATAGAAAAAGAATTAACAATTACTTAAATTTTTTGAATAAGACGAACGGTCAAATATTTTTAAAAAAGTCAACGGCATCAAACATTTTAGGATGGAGGTAGTATTGTCTAAGATTGAGCTGTGTACAAACAAAACTACTCGATCCATGTCTGCTTTGCCAATGATAGGTCCGCCTTTCTGTCGATCAATAATAATGCACACTATAAATATAAGCTTAACACAACTGATAACTAATGAACAATATCTTTCCTTTTTGCAGTGTTCTTTTAGAAAGAGGTTTCTTTTCGCAGTAGTATTATTCATCTGTGAGCTAGTACTTAGTAGGAGCTATAACTAGAGTACTTACGTTGTGCTTTTGATCCGCACGCCACTAGGTTATGGCCAAATTGGCCCGTGTTTTTTTTTCTACTAGAACAGAACAGAACAGAACAAAACAGAGCAGTATTTGCA